AAATTGAAAACCGCAAAATTCCTTTAACTGTGCGGGTATGTGTGTATGCGTGTGTGTTTAGATTATGGGCCGTCAGACTTACCGCAATTGCTCGCGTCGCCTCCTTTATATTGCTCGAATGCATCTTAGCCACAATCATGGACTGAGCCTTGTGCACCAGTTGACTGTTGCTGCCCACAACAATGCAAAACATTTTTACGCCGAGTTCATCGACGCGATCTTTTGTTGGATTCGTTGCACGATCTGCATTTGCGGTTGTGGAAAACGGGGACTTTATTGAAAGCAATAAAAACGAGAATAGCTACAGTTTGCAGACGAGACTCACCCAACATCTCCGTCATAATACTCTCGTCAGTTGTCATCTTTACATTAAATGCTGTCTTTAGGCTTAAAATAGCTGTGAATAAGGAACGTATGTTTTTCGGTTTTGAACAACAATCATATTGTTGTAGTTCTCCTATTATGATTAGAGCTGTGCCGTGAGTCGACCAAAATATCGATAGTTGTCATATATAGGATATCGGATTTAGTACGCTGCTATTGACTGTGGATAACAGCAGGGATAACACTCGTAAGCTTAAAATTAATATTTGTAAAATTTAATAATTCATTGATTTTAATAAGAAATCGATGCTGATAACAATTATCAAATTCAATATAATGAATAATACAATAAATAGAAGCACATATGAATATTCAATATAGCAACGACGTTAAATGTATTGTTTTATGAAAGCCCTTTTAGTTTTTTTTTTTTTTTTCGAAATTAACATAAACGACTAGATTTTTATATTCGATTGCTCATTGTTTTGAAAGCTCATTGCAGCCCTGCATGTAAAACACAACCCTGGGCTCCAGCCGGAAATCAATTTTTGTGGCATTGACGCACACTGCCGCAACATGTTCTTTTTCAGGCGTACGCCTTTGCGCATACATCGTACACCGATTTCTTCCGTGAAAAATGTAAGATTTTTTTTGTCAAAATAAATGTAAATGTAAATAAAATCTTAAGCAAATGGATACTAAACAAAGCGGTAATCGGCTGCACTCAAAAACTTTGTGAAATGCATTGTGCAAATGGTAGTAACTTGTTGGTTTCGTTTGGCCACGCACAATGAGGTTAAAAACGGTGCTCGTTTTTTTTTTTTTTTTTTGTTTGTGTGCGTGTCTGTGTCTGTGTAACGAGCGCTTAGTGCCGTCTCCACACGTGTTTGCATTTAAATGCAGGAAATTTAAAATTTAATATTTTGCGTCCACAACTAAAATCGTAGCAGTGAAACCAAGATTGTTACGGTTGTCCAGTTGTCCAGTTGAATAGACAATATTAGACGCCATAATATACTATTCCGCTTGAGGTTATCGCTTTGAAGATATTTACCTTAATAAAGTCAAAAATCAACAACAAATAAGTACATACAATTTACTGAATGAGCGAATAATATTATTTGGATTTTGGTTTGCATTGCAGCATGGCCGAAGTAGCTGAAAACGTTGTCGAGACTTTCGAGGAGCCGGCGCCATTGGAAACGGATGTCGCCGAAGCTGTGCTCGACACAAATGTTGTCGCCACCACGGAGCTGCCCGAAATCAAACTGTTCGGTCGCTGGTCTTGCGATGATGTGACCGTCAACGATATCTCGCTGCAGGATTACATCTCAGTGAAGGAGAAGTTCGCACGCTATCTGCCCCATTCGGCTGGTCGTTATGCCGCCAAGCGTTTCCGCAAGGCCCAGTGCCCCATTGTTGAGCGTCTGACCTGCTCTCTGATGATGAAGGGCCGTAACAACGGCAAGAAGCTCATGGCCTGCCGCATTGTCAAGCACTCTTTCGAGATCATCCACTTGCTCACTGGCGAGAACCCACTGCAGGTAAGCAGAGAGCCAACGACAAATAATTTAATCCAAGCACCTAACGTGCCATGCTAAACTGAGCCATGCGAAAACTTCAACCACGCGGGCTACAGGTAGAATGCGCACGCAGACCAAAATGTTTCAATATCCTAGTGTCTGAAGCGCAACTCTTCTTACTCTCTTGGAACTTGAAACTACAAATGAAAACAAATCGAGTATTTTGGCTATATACATATAGGGCTGTATTATTTAGCTCGTTTGAATTTACAGCTATGTGATTGTGCGTTGTTTTTTCAACAGGAGGCTTTTATATTCCAGATAATTAGACTCTCTATTTCTGCTCTTTTGCTACTTCATATTACATTCATCTTAATCTGATATCTATCAGAGATTGGCTTATGTCCACAACTAAAACCGCATCAGTGACTCGCACGCTGGTGTGGTATTCAATTGGACTACATTAAACCCCATGGTTAACTATTCCTCTTAAGGGCATTGGCTAAAAGATGCATTCCTTAATAAAGTCAAAATCAACATTGCAAACTTGATATGAATGATAGATATGGGATGATAGCATATGTAGAATATCACTGTCGCCTAGTCCAACTCTATGCTAGCTAGTTTAAATGCCAAGCTGTGCTAAGCATCTAATTTAAATGGACTCATATTAGACTTTGACGTTTTAATATCCTAGTGCCCGAAGATTTGAAACCTCTTCTTGCTCTCTTGGAACTTAAATCGACATCCAAACGCAAGGAGCTCAAATTCTGTTGAAAGTTAGTCCACCTCAATGCCATGCAAGTATTATTTTCCACTGCACTGCGCATCTAAACTCAATTGGACTGATATTAAATATGAGGTTTTAATATCCTAGTGCTTGAAGATTAGACTCTCTTCCCGCTCTCTTGGAACTTAAAATCACATTTATCTTAATGTAATCTTCATTATCTATCAGAGGTTGGCTTATGTCCACAACTAAAACCGCATCAGTGACACACACGCTGGTATGGTATTCAATTGGACTACATTGAACCCCATGGTTAACTATTCCTCTTAAGGGCATTGGCTAAAAGATGCATTCCTTAATAAAGTCAAAATCAACATTAGCAACTTACCTTATATACATCCATATAGAATACGCTTGCTGTAGTCCAACTCTATGCTAGTCAGCTTATAATCCATGCTGCTCTGAGCATTTTCATTCGAATGGACTAATATTAAATAGAAGGTTTTAATATCCTAGTGCCTGAAGATTTGAAATCTCTTCTTGCTCTCTTGGAACTTAAAACTACAATAGAAATACCAATTTAGAGAAGTAATTTATAGTCTGAACCTTTTAATGTATATATTTATTTACATTTTGCTTGCAGATTTTGGTGAGCGCCATCATCAACTCGGGACCTCGTGAGGACTCCACACGTATTGGCCGTGCCGGTACCGTCCGTCGCCAGGCTGTGGATGTGTCGCCCTTGCGTCGTGTCAACCAGGTGGGTGCATTTCTTGGCTAACGTTTTGGCCAGCAACGATGGCGCGCAGTTCGAGCACTGAGACTGCGTTCTTATAACGTTGGCTATAATAAACATCTATCTATCCGTAGCGTCACAATGTGTAATTAACCGACATTTGGCGTATGAACCGAAGAGACATTTACTCAAGCTTTTATTTAATTGCGAATGTATTACTAACTGATTTTTATTCATTTTAGGCTATCTGGCTTCTGTGCACTGGTGCTCGTGAGGCTGCCTTCAGGAACATCAAGACCATTGCCGAGTGCTTGGCCGATGAGCTCATCAATGCCGCCAAGGTAAGCTATATAGCTATACCTGAGTATACATATGTATATATAGAAATAAGCTAACTATTGTGCAAGTACTCTAATGTCGCCTCGCTTGTATACTGGACTGAGCTACTCGGGCAGTTGCTGCTCACTGAGGAGCAGTCAACAATCAATTATCTGCATAAATTCCATCATACAATATACATATGTTTATATATACATACACTACGTCCAGTCTAATTCTGCATCAGGTCATTTGGATACTGTTGGAGACTCGCTTTTGGACAAGATCAATATTATGTCTCCTATTATCCTTGTGCTTGTGGCAACACCCAGCTCAATGCACACGAGAAACGTAGAAGAACAACTAATTAATCTAATGCAAACATAAATAACCGTATATATATACACTACGTCCAGTCTAATTCTGCATCAGGTCATTTGGATACTGTTGGAGACTCGCTTTTGGACAAGATYAATATTATGTCTCCTATTATCCTTGTGCTTGTRGCAACACCCAGCTCAATGCACACGAGAAACGTAGAAGAACAACTAATTAATCTAATGCAAACACAAATAACCGTATATATACACTACGTCCAATCTAATTCTGCATCAGGTCATTTGGATACTGTTGGAGACTCGCTTTTGGACAAGATCAATATTATGTCTTCTATTATCCTTGTGCTTGTGGCAACACCCAGCTCAATGCACACGAGAAACGTAGAAGAACAACTTATTAAGCTAGTGTCTAAGACCTCTATGCGTAATATTTATTACATTATCTAAACTAATCTATTTTGTTGTTTCGATTACAGGGTTCATCCAACTCGTACGCCATCAAGAAGAAAGATGAATTGGAGCGTGTTGCCAAGTCTAACCGTTAAGGAGAAACAACACACACATATACAAATAACAAATACCGTTTGTTTAATGTTCGATTAAAACTTGATACTTTACGTTTGATGTAAATTTGTATGTAAACACAGAAGCGTTTTGATCAACTTTAAGCGTGCATTGAATAAACAGGTGGGGTGGCCAGGAGCTAAAGATACACATGAATTCTTCATTAAATAAATCTGTGTAAAAATAATAATAGGACACAATGCTTTTTTTTAATAGCTATAGAGTTTATCAGTATAAATAAATTTGATTTAATTTTGTACGTACATCAACACAAATATGTCGCAAGCTGAAAGGGAGCCGTTTTTTACGTTCGCCGGTTTCAGCGATTTGTGCTTGGTGCTAAAGCAGTTGGTCACATAAATATGCGATGTTCGATAACGATATCGATCACGCTTGAAAGCTGTCTGTACAGCCCTGGAAAATGGCAGCTTTACAAGGTTGCCAGATCTCGCTGTCATATTGCAAATTTGAATCTGCGCAAATGACGAGGCGCTGGGTTAGATAAAATGTTCAATGTGAATACGATAATTCAAACTCAACAAACTGCAGCGAGCACAAGTACACTTAATAATACGGCAAACGAAAATAGTTCGGGTGAACGCCATAGTCAGTAAGTATGGCTGAGTTTATAGTTACAAATAGGATAATAATCCAACCACATGAATAGATTCCACGACCAGACATTAGTGCAACAATTTTGTCGTGCAACGCACCTAGGAAAATTGATTGAAGGCACTGTGAACAGCTTCTTGTGCAACTATAGGCGCACGCGCAAGCCTGAGGAGGCACTGGCGCCGATTGTGCTGCGCCTGGACTTCCACTACGCTGAGCTAGTGAGTCACGCACCGCAGCTGCTGCACCTGGCCGTCGAAGAGCCTCTGCAGTTTGCCGAGGCGGTCAAGTACTCGGTGTACGGACAGGTGCGCGACTTGCTGAAATTAAACGCGAACTCCAACGAAAGTTCCCTCAAGGCAATCGATATCGCTCAGCTGCACACGCAGTGGCGACTGCTGGGCTTGCCACTACAGCCGAATCTAGTGTTTGATCCTTCTCAGTGGCTGTACCCGCTGGGCCTGGCCCTGGTGGACGGCATCTTGTCCGCATATACACTGCCGGAGATATTGGTGTAAGTAAAGGATTTATAGCCATATATATTTATAACACTTGGCTATTGGATTGGAATTTGCTAGATCTTAATTGATATATATTTTTATTGCTTGTTCTTGTATTTCGCTGAAACAAAAAAAATCTAGACTGCAATCGATTTGGTACTGCGCCAGTGGTTGTATGAGGAATGCCATTCAAACCAGCTCCACGGACGGTGAGTAAACGAATTCGGTAGCTACAAAATCCGTCGTCGTCCAGATGTTAATCAAAGTAGGCTTTCACTGTGTGTGAAACGACACGATATATGCATATGTATGTATGTATGTACATGTCAAACTTTTTCAGGCATTCAGTCTCTTTACGTCTCTCATTTATTTAAGATCAGCTCTAGTTTATTCTACGATTGTAAATTTTAAATATATTTTATTTATTTTCCCATTTTGTACATCCAGCGCCGTTGTGCCCAAACTGCTCGCGTCCTATGAGTGAATACCAAAAGCTGCGCGTAACTGAGAATTACCGTTTGCTGGCCATCCTACCGAGCGCCTGTGCGCAGACTCCTCGAACTGTGAATCGCATTTACCGGCCGATTCTTGTGCGTTTGCGTGGTAAGCATAGCCAGGGGCATAGCTATTGAAGATGCCTTCACTATAATGAAGATGCCTTCACTGATCTCTCCTGCCAGCTCATACGTACGATTGTGATTTGAAGTTGGGCGCCAATTACCTGGTCACGGGCTACTACTGCGGCACAGCTAGCACTTATCAGTTCGAGGCATGCCATCTAAAAAGAGCTTGACTCGTCATCAGCCAGTGCAGCTGATTGACTTCTTGCGCGCCGACGTCGATCAGCCAATCCCTACGGAACCATCAAGCTTCGCATCTGCTGTGTTAGTAGCCACATTATTTATTGCATTTGTAGTTGCATTGCATCATTGTTCATTCGTGGTTTGTCTCCCTCTTTCTCTCACTCTCTAGCTCAAATGTCAGTCCCGTCATTAGCTTTTATAAAAGCTCACAAAGCACATCATCCGGTGATCCGCAGCGTGCTAGGATTAGCAAGGCGACCGCCAATCAAAATGTTAACTTTGTTCCAACCGATGAGGAGTTCCCGGCTGTGGGCGCCGTGCGCAAAAAGCCAAAGGCAAAGCCAAAGCCAGCTCCGGCTCCGTTCGTTGCGCCAGCAGAGTCGCGCCCAGCCCTACAGCCAGTGACTCCGGCCCAGGCCACTAGCCAGCGCATTTCCGGCGGCTTTCAAGTGCGCCAGTCGTCGTCAGGCAACTCGTTCGACAAGCAACAGGTGGTTAACAAATGGCTCAAGTCTGTGCAGCAGCCTTTCGTGCGATCGCAGCAATTGCAAACACCATTTCGCACCTCCGGCTATACACAGTCGGGCTGCAAGAGCGCACCGGCAGCTGCCCCACAGGAGCAGTCGCCAGCCAAAAAAGTGAATAAGGCGTCAGAGCCAGTGGCCAGCCCCAAGCGTCCAACCGTTGCGCAGCCCAAACAAAAATCATCAGTTATACAATTGACGCCATGCCCCTCAAATGTGTCTGTTTCCTTGCCGGTGGGCAAGGTGGTGCCCAGCGCACCAGACGTCCGCTCCATGTCTGGCGATAGCGACAGAACTCTAGTGCCGATCAACGAGGCACAAAGTGCACAGCCAACGAGTCGCCAAATGCGCCGCAAGGAGCGACGCATGCGACGCGAGCAAGGAGCGTCAGCTCAGAGCTCAAGTCGCGCGCATCCGGGCCTGCCGGCACAACTGCCCGAGGAGCTGGTGGCGCAACAGCCCGAGGAGCTGGTGGCGCAACAGCCCGAGGAGCTGGTGGCGCAACAGCCCGAGGAGCTGGTGGCGCAACAGCCCGAGGAGCAGGTGGCGCAACAGCCCGAGCAGCTGGTGACGCCGCCTAGTCCCAGCACACACAGCGCGCCAGTTGACGATGATGTGTCCTTTATGCAGGAGCTGCAGCAGGCGCTGGCCAACAACTCAATGCCAGCGGAATCCCAATTGCCGCTGGAAAGCATCGCAGCACACAGCACACTGAATTGGAACGCCAACGAATTTCGTCCCAATCCAAGCCCAGTGGTCATCAAGAACTCAAGGATTAGCGTAAGTGAATAGTCATAGGTTTCATTTCCATAATTCTCATTACATTTTCGTAACTTACAGGAGCGTCGTCGTCGTCAGCGCTTCCATCGCACACTCAAGCCCAATGCACTGTTCGAGCTGGTCTCGCTGCCATCCGAGTTGCAGTCGGGGTCCCAGACAGAGCCGCCATTGCAATCACAATTAACTGGCAGTAGCCAGGCACCGAGAGCCACATATAATCTGTCCTCCAGCTACTCAGAGGCGAGCAGCGCACCGGCAATTGCCACAGGCTCGAGAGTCCAACCGCTGCCAATACCGCTGCCAATACAGCACAGCTGCAGCACTGACAACCAGTCGGTTTTTCGGCTCAGCAGCCTCCCCAGCACGGGTATCGGGACGGGCGGCATCAGCAGCCGCAGCAGCCGCAGCAGCAGCAGCAGAAGCGCCGACACCATCAGCAGCACTTTGGTGACAACCGTAGACGACCCCAACGACGCTTCTGATAATATGCTGCACAGCCGTCCGCTCTTGGACATGGATCCGGCATCTCCGCAAACGGAGGCGTTTCTCTTCCTCGAGCCAACTAATATTGACTTAACCGCTAAGCTGGCTGCCGATAGAGCGACGACCGAGAGGAACCGCGGACCACGTCACCTCATATTTGTGAAATGTGACAATCCACGGCGTCGCAATATCGAGGTCGATTTGAATTTCATGCCACCGAGCATCAAGAAGCTGTATAGCCTAATCTGCGCCAAATACTCGGACTATGCCTTTGTCTATGCGCTGAGTGCGCAGCTGTCCCAGGAGTTTGTGCCCATGGAGTGCTATGTGTACCTGAAAATGGCGCTGCTGAGCAGCCTGGCCAGCCTGGAGCTGGACGAGATGCGTGCGCCCATTTCACTGTGCGTGATATGCAACGACAGCTATATGGCCAATCTGCTGCTGCACCAAGTCGGGCAACTGGCGCCCCGTTTCATTGGGCCCCACGAGGGCTGCCAAGAGCCAGTGCAGCATTCAGCCCTGTCGTCGCGCCACAAATGGGTGATGGCCAGCCCATTGCTGTTGGCCCAGCAGGGCGTGTACTATGCCGGTGACTGGAATCGCTTGACGCGCGCCCAAAGCGAGGAGCTGGAGAAGTGCATTGAGAACGGCAGCGTGCCGGTGCCGCAGCTGCAGAGCGAGCAGCCGCTCGAAGCGGCCATTTGGACGTATTGGCAGCCGGAGAATGCAGCCAACCAATCGACAGCGTTTGCCAAGCTTTGTCCGTGAGTAACTGAATATAATATCCAAAATAATATATGTATTTATCTTGATTCCTTTGCAGCATCTTTGGCCTGCCCGTGCACATGGGGGAGCTGGAGAACAATACGCTGTGGGATTTTGTGCTGAGCCAGCACCAAAGCGATATGCCAGAGGAAATACATGATGCATTTAATATACCCAAAGATGATATCCGAACAATGCTCACCTTTCTCCATCAGCGTCAGGTTACTTTCACCGTGGAGGCGGAGCTATTGCTACAAAAATACTATGTTGTCTCTCGCATCGAGCAGCCAAGTGAGCGCATCTTCCATTTCATTTCAATTCATGCTACTCATGCCCTCCCTCTCTCCCTCACTGTCTCTTTTACTCTTGCAGCTGCCTTCAGCAGCAAGACTTATATTGTGCTAAAGCAATTTGCTGAATCGATTGCCAAGCTGTCCATGCGACTGGATGTACTCGAAGCCGACGTGGCCGTTGCCATCTTCCACTCCGAAAATTTTGTGCGCAGCATCTTTGGCGCCGGCGATTTTCCGCCGCCTGCCGTTGTCAACTTGAATGTAATCTCTCGCGTGGATCCGTACATGAATGAGTTTGCGCGCTGGCTATATCAATATCTGGATCGCTACGAGGACAATGTGGACGACGACGACAGAGCACAGCCGAAGCGTCAACGTSTTGATATCCCCTAGGAATATAAAAAGTAAACGAATGCTGCACAGCCGATACTTATACTTAAGCTCTTATGTATATATGTAGTATGTATATATATATATGTATATGTATGTATATATCAATTAGCCAATAAACAAACGATGATATCTGTGCAGTATTTAGAGCGGTTTAAGAACTTTATCTTTGATTATCCAGCTTATACCGAGAGTGAATAATGATATAATCTATAAATTTGTTATCAAGTTATCTATTGTTAATTACGTTATACCAATAAAATGAAAAGGTTATTTTAATTATCCATTTAAAAACAATTCTTTATTTGCTATCTTTGCCGTAGCGACTTACATTTGCATAATTATTTTAAATATTTGTAAGTTTCATTTGATTACGTTAATAGTTTTTGATTATCGTTTTATCAGTTTGCCTGAGCACAAATTCTTGCATTGGCTTTTATCTCAGGAAGGACCATACATTTTGTTGCAATCCATTCTCGATTTCAGTTTTATAAAAAAATACAAAATTTATTGTAGCATACAGTTAAGTGCTCACATTGAAACTTCAATAGTAATTATATAGATAGTCAGATAGATTCATTTGGTTAATGTAGTAAATAAACAAAGAAAATAGATATATTGTACATAAGTAGTTGATGAAATGGTTGCGTTATATGCGTT